ACCTTGCTCTTGTGCGTCTTTCTCCTTTCGCTCACGTAGGATGGCACCAAGGTTTTTCAACTCGAGGCACTTGGCATAGCCATGCGGTCCACTGCATATGTAGCAACCATCTCCTTTTGTGATTTGCGCCTTTCTCTCCGTGTAGTTCTGGCGCCCGAACCGCTTGTCGTCCAACTTGTAGGAGTCATGCTTCATAGGGTGTTCTTGCTTCTCCTTGTCTCGGCCACAATCTGCCCCACCTTTAGCATGACTAGTCCTTGCATCCTTTGCCTTTGCCTTTGCCTTGTCATGCCTTTCATGCTTGAAGTCGGCCAAAGCTTCAGCTTGTGTGATGGCCTCGTCGATGGTCTTGACTTGTCACCGCTCCAACTCCGTCTTGGCCCAATTTTGCAGTCCGTCCATGAAGTGGAACAACATGTCTTCATTCGTGAGGTTGGGAATCTGAAGCGTGAGAGTGGTGAACTCCTTCACGTACGCCTGAATGCTTCCTGTTTGCTTCAATTCCCTAAATTTGCGCTTGACCTCATATATGACGTTGTTAAGGAAGAAGGCCATCTTGAACTCTTCTTAGAATTGCTCCCAAGTGTTGCTGTTGCATAACCCCTTCCCTATCTCGGACTTCGTGCATCTCCATCCTAGCATGGCCATCTCCGAAAGATACAACACGACAATGTTGACCTTGTTCTCATCGCTCCTCACCCGACTACACTTGAAGTAATTCTCCAAGTGCCATAAGAAGTTCTCTACCTCTTGGGGGTCATGGACGCCTTTGACCACATATGGCTTGGAGCCTTGACCTTGGCCTCCCTATCTCGGTCAAATGACGTAGATCCTCCAGCTTCCATGCCCTCCTTGAGTACCTTCATCTCGGCACTCATGGTTTCAATTGTACTTAGTGAATCCATGAGCCTGCACTCCAATGAAGTGATGGCCTCATTTATCTCGAACTCGGCACGCTAGCGGCCCTCAAACTCCTTGAGGATGTTGTCGTTCTTTTCAAGGGTGAAGTCCTCTAGAGGTTTGAACTTGCCATAGACCTCGTTCAAACATCGGCCTAATATCTCCACAACCTGCTTTGCCGTCTCATCCCTTGCAATCCATTTCTCTCCGATTGTGACGTCAATGGGATTCTCTCCACGGTCATAGGCACTTGCTTTGGTGGGTGAAGGTAGGTGAGATGTTAGCACCTCGCTTGGGATGGGCTCTAGCCGCATTTCGTCGCTACTCTTGTGGTGCTACTTTCCCTTGCGACTCTTCTTTTCACCATCCAGACGGACGTTGTGGTGCTAGCAGCGTTGAAGTCTCCTTCGTTGGCCATTCCTTTAGAAACAAACCTTTGATCTTATACCACATTGTCACAAACTTAGAGTCTCACTAATGTTCCATGCGGCACTCGATAACTTACTCACAAATCTTTCACAATCTTGTAAGCTCAAGTAAGCCCTTTGAAACTAGATCGCTAAGAGAATGTAAAGAAACACTTAGAAAGATTTAGAGAGCTTTGGAAGAAGGATTTTGTATTGCTACTGAAATGCTTTACAACTTGAGTGATGATTTTTCAAATGGGAGGTCCTTTATTTATACTACTCCCTTAGGGCATAAGTGTAAATAATAATTAATTTACAAGTCCCTACAATGTTTACACTTTAGTCCATATCCTAGAATTCTCTACATTTTCTAGGGAATCTAAAGCCTTTTTGAAAATATCTAGGGGGTTCTAGAGTTCTCCATAACTCTAGATTCTTCTCCCCTATTCCGGTGCCGAATTTGAGAAGCAAAGTGGTGGGACATAACACTTTGTACATTTATTTTCATGCATTGATTTTGGAATTTTAAAGTGAGTTCAAGAGTATTTCAAAGTATCTTCTGAGAAGAGTTTAAGGGAACACAAATGGTTCCAAAACTACTATTTTGAAAAGAGCATAAACAGTTTTCAAAAGCATTTCAGTTACCCCTTAAAAAGTATTATTTTGAAAAGAGAGTACTATTTTTAGAAAAGTATAAAAAAAATTCAGAGTATTTCAGACAGATTCAGTACAACTTTAGTTGCTTCTGAAAAAGGTCTTTTGATAAATTATCTCAACCCATAGAGTACTTTTACATGAACATTCAGTTATATTTTGGGAGTAGTAGAGAGCACTGATTAGGGGTAAGTGTTCAGAGAACTTGTAACACCTCGAAAACCAGACCCATAAAAAATTTGCAGAGCTTACCTGAACCAGTGAACCTCGGCAGGGTTCACGGACCGTGATAAGGTCCACGGTCCATTGAAATCCCCGTGATCCTGACATAGACTTCACCTGGTCCAGACATTAGACCACAAGAACCTTCACGGGCTGTGGCCTTGACAACAAACCGTGGTGGCGTCTGTGAAGAGTTATGCAGTAGCCTCCCTAGACTAGCCCTCAGACCCTCAAGCCTAAGTGAGGACCACGACTGTGGTCCTCCACACTGCCCGTGGAAGGGTCCGTGAAGGCCAGCCAGTAAACCCTTAGCCCTAAGCCTCCAAACCTCAGCCCAAGTAAGGACCACGGGGACCTTCACTGTCCTTGGTCCTCCACACGGGCTATGGTAGTGGCTTATTGACCTAGCCTTTAGAACCACAGGACGAAGTGAAGATCACGAAGGGCTTCACGGTTCGTGGTCCTTTTCATGATCCATGAAAGGGGTCGTGGTCAGCTTTCCTGCAGCGTTAAGTCAAGGGACTTTTGGTCTTTTCCTATTTTGTTGGACTCCTAAACTACATCATTTTAACCCTAAACTACGTTGTTTGGATTAGTTTTAGCCTAGAAACATAACTAGAACATACCCAAGTCAGATCTTTCATCAAAAACTTAGAAATTAGAACGTGAAAAGAGGCAAGAGGTCGACCATCCTTAGTTCAAGAATGCAACAAGATTCCATCAGTTCCATCCCTGAAATCGAAATATTTTTCCATGGAATTCGTCACTAGGTATGTGGGATTTCACTAGTGGGTTCCTTTCGCCCATTGGGTCCCTAGATTTCAGTCAGATCCTTGATTCTCTCCATATTATCTAGACCTAGGGTTTCTTGAATGTTAGAATTGTTGGGTTTTTAGCTGTTAGAATGATCCAAATCAGATTATTATGTTATTACTCAGTTTATTGCATAATTTCAGAACCCTAGCTATGTAGTTCTTTAGTTCTTGAATTACACATGCTAGGCCAGATATTTCAGTTATTTCAGATATACATGCCCAGTTTTGAATGTGTCATTCAGTTTATTAATGTGCATTCTTAGTTTGCATGTCATTTTGAGCTATCCAGTATATCATAGAAATTCAGTCATAATGTGTTAAGCAGTTAATCTATTGGGAGTAGCTTAATACCGAGTTAGACTAGGGTCAGTCACCCATATAGTCCCAAAACTACGAGTCACGTTGGTTGTAAGTCCCCTCTGTGGGCATCATTTTAGTGATTACTCCAGCATGCCTCTATACCTTTGGCCGGGTATATTTGGTCCTTTCGATAGGGTGTATACATCAGACTCCACATTTAGCTCATCTAGTTTTATTATCGGTTATTAGTAGCTCCGACATTTCAGTTAGTCTCCATTGCATTGACCACATTTCATTATTGTTAGTATTCAATATCAACATGTTAGAAAGTGGTCATTGCATTTAGTTAGCTCAGTATACAGTATCAATATTATGTTCAAATTATGCTCTTGCTTTATTGCTTGTTCAGTTATATATTTATTTCAGCTTTACTCTATCCTGCATGCTCAATTCCTTCCAAGTACTGATGCATACTCTGCGCTACATCTTCTCGTGATATAAGTCCAGGTTCTCAGTATCCAGATCACGCTTAGATCGATTCCCGAACTCTAGTTCATCAGTATCAGTGGTGAGTCTTGATTCTTCGAGGTCAATAGTCATGTTGCTATTTTAGTATTTTAGTCTTTTAGTTCTAGTTTTGCTAGACTTAGCTGGGGCATGTCCCAACACTTTTAGTCTGTTTGAGGCTATTTTCAGACATAGTTAGATTTAGCTTAGTATCTGAGTTTGATGTTTCTTTTGTATTAAACTCTCAAATTTGATATATTCAGTTTTAGTATATGGGTATTCCCCATTACTTTCATTTTCATGATTCAACTTCCACATCAATTATTATTAATCTTAGTATGCTCATGTCATGCTAGCAAGGTTAGCTTGGGGTCACTTGTGATCCTAAGTCCATTGTCCGCATCTTGGGGTAGCTCGAGGCGTGACAAACTTGGTATCAGAGCACTAGGTTTAAGAGTCTTAGGATGTTTGAAAAGCCGCATTAAGTAGAGTCCTTTTTATGGGTGTGAAGTGCACCACATCTAATGAGAGGGAGGCAACAAGGTGTTTTACGAAAAATCTTCATTTTCTTGTTACTCTTATTGTGCTTAAGGTATGATCTATTTCCATTCTAACTCGACGTTCTACATTTCAGTAATCATGCCTCCTCGTAGAGGTAACGCCATGAACGCAAACGCAACCCCTCCAGTCCCAGATCAAGAAGTCTCGAATGCAGAGTTCAGGAACGCCATTTAGATGTTGGCTTAGAGTGTGGCCAACCAGAATAACCAACAGACTCCATTTCCAAAAAAAAACCCGCTAATGTTGGGTCAGCTGCAGTTAGAGTACGAGACTTTGTTAGGATGGATCTGCCAGAGTTCTTAGGATCGCAGGTTGGAGAAGATCCCCAAAACTTCATTGATGAGGTCAAGAAATTCTTTAAAGTGATATAGGTAACTGGAACGATCGGGTTGAGTTAGCATCTTACCAACTTAAGGATGTAGCTCATATCAGGTATACTCAGTGAAAGGAGAACAAGGGTACAAATGCAGCTCCTATCTATTGGGATTACTTTAGTGAGACCTTTCTAGACAAGTTTTTCCCAATAGAGCTAAAGGAGGCCAAAGCTCAAGAATTTATGAACTTAAGGCAATGTAGTATGACAGTCCAAGAGTATGGGCTCAAGTTTACCCAACTCTCCAGGTATGATCCTCACATGGTGGCTGATTCCAAGGCCCAAATGAACAAGTTTCTTTATAGAGTGTCAAACTTGGTTAAAATAGAATGTAGGAATGCTATGTTGCTGGGAGATATGAGCCTCTCTAGGCTTATGACTCATGCTCAGCAGGTTGAGGGTGATAAGCTTAAGGAACATGCCAAGGAGAAAAAGAAGTCTAGAACTGGGATTTATGACTATTCTCACCAGAAAACGGGTGGTGGAAATCGCCCACAGGGTCAACAAAAATTTTCAACTCCAGCACCTTCATCAGCTAGTGTTCTGTCCTCCAAGTTCTGTAATGATCAAAAAGGTAAGACATCAGGCTCTAAGTCTTAAGGAAGTGTTATAGGCACCAAAACCTACCCAACTTGCCCTAAGTGTGGTAAGAATCATCCGGGCGAGTGCCTTGCAGGAAAGGAAGGATGTTCTGGGCGTGGTTAGTCTGGTCACATGCTGAGGGATTGTTCTTCTAAACAGGGTCAAAGAGGCAATGCTAATCGAGCCCAGTCTACAACTTTAGTAGCACCAACAGGTCGCCCGACTCAGCAGGGTAACACTTCTGGTACAGGTGGCAGACAACGCCAAAACAAGCTCTATTCTCTTCAAGCTTTCTAGGATTAGGAAGATTCTCCTGATTTAGTCACTAGTGCATTACGAGTCTTTGATCTCGATGTTTATGCTTTGTTAGATCCAGGGGCTACTCTTTCCTTTTGTTACTCCTTACATAGCAGTTAAGTTTGATGTTAGTCCAGAAATTCTCTCAGAACCTTTCTCAGTCTCTACTCCAGTCGATGACGCAGTTATAGCTAGACGGGTATACAAAAATTGCCTAGTCACAGTCTCTCAGAAAGTCACCTCAATAGATCTTGTAGAGTTAAAATTGGTAGACTTTGATGTCATTCTAGGCATGGATTGGTTACATTCCTGTTATGCCTCAGTCGATTGTAGAACTAGGATTGTTCGTATTCAATTTCTAGACGAACCAATCTTACAATGGAAGGGTAGTAGCTTGGCGCCAATGGGTCGATTCATTTCTTACCTTAAAGACAAAAATATGATATCTAAGGGTTATCTCTATCATGTAGTTTGGGTTAAGGATTAAAGCTCTGAAACCCCAACTCTTGAGTCAGTTCCAGTGTTTAATGAGTTTCCATAAGTGTTTCCAGAAGATCTTCCCGGAGTTCCTCCCGATAGGGAAATCGACTTTGGAATTGATCTCCTTCCAGATACCCAGCCTATTTCTATTCCTCCATATAGGATGGCTCCAACTGAGCTTAAGGAATTGAACGAGCAGTTGAGAGACCTTCTAGATAAGGGATTTATCAGACTTAGTATTTTGCCATGAGGTGCACCAGTGTTGTTCGTAAAGAAGAAAGATGGGTCTCTCAGAATGTGAATTGACTATAGGAAGTTGAACAAGGTCACAATTAAGAATAAGTATCCCATCCCCAGGATCGATGACTTGTTTGACCAACTTCAGGGTGCTAGTCATTTCTCAAAGATAGACCTCATATCGGGTTATAATCAACTCAAAGTCAGAGATCATGACATTCCGAAGACAACCTTCAAGACTCGGTATGGTCAGTATGAATTTGTAGTTATGTCATTTGGACTAACCAATGCTCCTGTAGCTTTCATGGATTTGATGAACAGAGTGTTCAAGCAGTACTTGGACTTGTTCGTTATCGTCTTTATTGATGATATCCTCATTTACTCTAGGAATGAAGAAGAACATGCAATTCATTTGAGAGTTGTTCTGCAAACTCTCAAAGATCGCCAGTTATTCGCCAAATTTAACAAGTGCGAGTTTTGGTTGCAGTTGCTTTTCTTGGGAATATAGTGTCTAGTGAGGGAATTCGAGTAGATTACCAGAAAATAGAGGCAGTGAAACAATGGCCCAGACCTACCTCTCCTACAGATATTAGAAGTTTCTTGGGTCTAACTGGTTATTACAAAAGGTTCGTGGAAGGATTTTCATCCATAGCCTCACCATTGACTAGGTTGACTCAGAAGATGGTCAAGTTTCAATGGTCAAATGATTGTGAGAAAAACTTCACATAATTGAAAACTAGGTTGACTACAACTCCTGTTTTGACTCTACCAGAGGGTGCAGACGGTTATGTGATTTATTGTGATGCATCCAGAGTCGGCCTAGGTTGTGTGTTAATGAAGCGAGGTAAGGTTATAGCTTATGCTTCTACACAACTTAGGGTGCATGAGAAGAATTATCTGACTCATGACCTCGAGCTTGCGGCGGTGGTGTTTGCACTCAAGATTTGGAGACACTACTTGTATCGTGTTCATGTAGATGTTGTCACAGACCATAGGAGCCTCTAGTATGTATTCACCCAAAAAGAGTTGAATCTTTGCTATAGAAGGTGGCTTGAGTTCCTAAAAGATTATGATATGAGCATGCATTACCATTCGGGTAAGGAAAATATAGTAGCAGATGCTCTTAGCAGATTATCCATGGGTAGTGTAGCACATGTTGAGGAAGAGAGAAATGAGTTAGCAAAGGATGTTCAAATACTTGCTCACCTAGGAGTTCATCTTATGAGCATATCAGATAGTGGTATAACGGTTCAGAATAGATCAAAATCTTCATTGGTAGCGGAGGTTAAAGAAAAGTAAGACACCGATCCGATATTACTTGAACTCAAGGGTGCAGTCCACCAACAGAGAGTTGAGGTTTTCTCCCAAGGGGGAGATGGTGTGCTTCGCTACCAGGGTCGATTATGTGTTCCTAATGTGGGCGAGTTTAGACAACATATTCCTGCAGAAGCCCATAACTCCAGATATTCTATTCATCCAGGCGCCACTAAGATGTACCGCGATTTGTGGGAAGTCTATTGGTGGAATGGTATGAAAAGAGATATAACGGATTTTGTGGCTAAGTGCCCCAATTGCCAGCCAGTCAAGGTAGAACATCAGAGATCAGGAGGTATGACTCAAGAGATTGACATTCCTACTTGGAAGTGGAAAGTTATCAACATGGACTTCATCATGGGTTTACCTCGTACTCGCAGACAACATGACTCAATTTGGGTGATAGTTGACAAAGTTACTAAGTTTTCTCGCTTTTTGGTGGTCAAGACTACAGATTCGACGAAGGACTATGCCAAGCTTTACATTAATGAGATAGTTAGGTTGCATGGGGTTCCTTTGTCTATCATATCGGATAGAGGTCCTCAGTTTACCTCTCATTTCTGGAAGTCATTTCAGAAAGGTCTTGGTACTCAGGTTAACCTTAGCACAACATTTCATCCACAAACAGATGGTCAAGAAGAGCGTACCATTCAGACCTTAGAGGACATGTTGAGAGCTTGTGTGATCGATTTCAAGGGTAGTTGAGATGATCACTTTCCTCTTATTGAGTTCGCCTACAACAATAGTTACTATTCCAGTATTCAGATGGCCCCTTATGAGGCATTGTATAGGCGTAGATGCAGATCTCCTGTTGGTTGGTTTAAAGTAGGTGAAGTAGCCTTGATAGGGACATATTTAGTCCATTATGCTATGGATAAAGTGCAACTCATTAGAGATAGACTTAAGACAACCCAGAGTCGCCAGAAGTCTTATGCAGATGTAAGGAGAAGGGAACTAGAGTTCCAAGTTGATGATTGAGTTTTCCTGAAAGTGTCACCTATGAAAGAGGTGATAAGATTTGGCAAGAAAGGGAAGTTTAGTGCCAGCTATGTAGGCCCGTACCGAATCTTAAAAAAGATTGGTAAAACAACTTATGAGTTAGAGTTGCAAGGAGATTTAGCAGTAGTGTATCCAGTCTTTCACATTTCACTATTGAAGAAGTGTGTGGGTGATCCAGCATCCGTAGTTCCATTAAAGAGTGTGGCTGTGAAAGATTGACTTTCTTATGAGGATATACCAGTTGAGATTCTTGATCGTTAGGTTAGAAGGTTGAGAAATAAAGAAGTCACTTCAGTCAAGGTTTGGTGGAGGAGTCAGTCCGTAGAGGGAGCTACTTGGGAAGTAGAAGCAACCATGAAAGCCAAGTATCCTCACCTCTTTCCTTTCGATTCCACTCCAGCTTGAGGTAATAGTTCCTCTTCAGTTTTTTCAGTCATTCATGCGTGAAATCAGTCTTAGTATCATGTTCCCTCTGTTTGTTCTTGCATTTTCAGCCGTATTTGCATGTTTTTGAAACTTAGCTCAGTCAGAAATCAGTCTTTAGTGTTTATTGGTAGGGTTGCAGCTCATACTCTCCATTTAAGCTAGTTTAGTCTTCATTCGAGGATGAATGATCTCAAGGGGGAGATATTGTAACACCTTAAAAATCAAACCCAGAAAAAAATTACAGAACTTACCTGAACCAGTAAACCACGACAGGGTTCACGGATCGTGATAGAGTCCACAATCCATTGAACTACCCGTGATCCTAACTTGGACTTCGCCTGGTCTAGACATCAGACCACGGGGACCTTCACGGGCCGTGGTCTTGACAATGGACCATGGTGGCGTCCATGAATAGTTAGGTAGTAGCCTCCCTAGACTAGCCCTCAGACCCTCAAGCCTAAGTGAGGACCACGAGGACCTTTACGGTCTGTGGTCCTCCACACGGCCTGAGAAAGGGTCCGTAAAGGCCAGCCATTAAACCCCTAGCCCTAAGCCTCCAAACCTCAGCCCAAGTGAGGACTACGGGGACCTACATGGTCTGTGGTCCTCCACACGGGCCGTGGTAGTGGCTCGTGGACCTAGCCTTCAGAACCACAAGACCTAGTGCAGACCATGAGGGCCTTCATGGTCTGTGGTCCCTTTTACGATCCGTGAAAGGGGCCGTGGTCTGCCCGTCTACAACTTTAAGTCAGGGGTCTTTTGGTCTTTTCCTATTTCATTGGACCCCTAAACTACGTGGTTTTGATTGGTTTTAGCCTAGAAGCATAACTAGAACTTACCCAAGTCAGATCTTTCATCAAAAACATAGAAATTAGAACGCGTAAAGAGGCAAGAGGTCAACCAGCCCTAGTTCAAGAACGCAACAAGATTCCATTAGTCCCCCCCCGAAATCGAAAGATTTCTCCGTGGAATTCGTCACCAGGTATGTGGGATTTCACTAGTGGGTTCCTTTCTCCCATTGGGTCCCTAGATTTTAGTCAGATCCTTGATTCTCTCCATATTATCTAGACCTAGGGTTTCTTGAATGTTAGAATTATTGGGTTTTTAGCTGTTAGAATGATCCAAATCAGATTATTATGTTATTACTCAATTTATTGCATAATTTCAAAACCCTAGCAATGTAGTTCTTTAGTTCTTGAATTACACATGCTAGGCCAAATACTTCAGTTATTTCAGATATACATGCCTCCATTTTGAATGTGTCATTATCAGTTTATTAATGTGCATTCTCAGTTTGCATGTCATTTTGAGTTATCCAGTATATCACAAAAATTCAGTCATAATGTGTTAAACACTTAATCTATTGGAAGTAGCTTAATACCAAGTTGGACTAGGGTCAGTCACCCATATAGTCCCAGAACTACGAGCCACATAGGTTGTAAGTCCCCTCTGTGGGCATCATTTTAGTGATCACGCCAGCATGCCTCTATACCTTTGGCCGGGTATATTTGGTCCTCTTGATGAGGCGTATACATCGGACTCCA